ACGCAAGCCTATGATCTATATTCGGCCAGACCTGAGCCTTATCCCGCCCAAAGATCATACGGCGGACATTTGCAAACATACGGTATCATAACTGAACCGGAGGAGGAAGAGGAGGGCGGGTGAGCGAACTAGCACAAACTCTCATCTTAGCATCGGTCAAATCTATGAGAGACAAATTTGCAAGGGTGGCTCTGGTAGTCGCATCCGTTGCGCATAATCACCTATAATAAGATTAGTTTCGTCGCAATTGCGAGAGGATGGCGGCCATTGGTCTACCTTTATAATAGAGTAACGTCAGGCCTCCCAATAAACCAAACAAAACCTTCATTAGGCAGGAAAAGTGAATCATGGATAGACATTTCGCTTATGTAGCATGATCAAGACATGACTCAAATTTTAGCGTCGATTGCGATTCTCGTCATAGGAATGCGCACGGCTTGGAGCTGTAGCTGATGCTGTCATTTGTCGAAGTTGGCAGACTCGCTAAAACAAGCAGAAGTCGAAGGTAATTTGACGTCTGCATGAAAGCCAACATAATTTTTCGGCTCTTCGATTGGCGCGTATCTGGCTGTATCTGGTCGGAGTGAGCGTTGAAGTTAGATTGTCTTGGACGACCGGATTGCAGAGGGAGATGAAGGCTGAGTTGTTCCCGGGTGTGGAGGAGTACCAGCTGCATAGCGAACGTGCCCATCAAGGAACAAAGTGGACATAGGGGTTGTGATACATATGATGCTCCCTGAGGGCCTGATTGCCCACTGCCTTTTCCTTGGCACAGGACGTACACAGGATACGGTGGGAGTGCTAGAGTAAGTACCGGAATCAGACTTGTGAGCGGGAGAAAATAGACACGGAACTAAATAGACGTCGAAGGCACGGTAGACACAGCATCGAGCCCTGTCAGAATACGAGTGTCAAGTCAGTGGCGTGCCTGGTCTCTGAATATTGTTACTGGCAACATTAGAGTATATATATGTCGATTGTAGAGGATAGAGGTAGACGATAGCATACGCCAGGAGTAATAATCATTTATGAGGTTGGAGTGAACCGAAAGATGGATGGACAACATGGAGCGATCGGCATCAACGGATGGGGCCGAATCGACCCAGACCCGATTAGGATAACCCATGAGTTGACGTCAAGAATAGAAAATACAACTAACCGAGACCCAAATGAACCACCCAGTGTTCCCCCTTCCTTCCCCCCACCATGTACGTCCTCCCGCCAATTTCGATTAACCTCTATAGTTAACGATCATCCATCTAGGTCGGGCAACGATATAGCGAACGCAAAGTCGGCTTCGACTGCGACGTTCGTGACTGCCCTTGTATTCAACGCTATCGTTTTTGCTGCTGAACTCGCAGCTTTCACCCTTCTCCGACCATGGTTCAAAGCTATCTACGAACCAAGAACCTATGTACCACCAGTCTCGTGAGTACTCTCTATTTCGACAATATTGGGACACATCTTTCCAGCAGTGCAGCCACCCGTAGGCATGGCATGATGGAACGAACTCTTTAACTTTTCGTTGGATTTGTTCTTGATTTATACTCAACACATGCCCTTTCAACAGGAAGCGTATTCAGCCCCTCAGTAAATCCCTATTCCTATGGCCCCTAGCGGTCTACAAAGCGGACTATCGTGGTATCATCAGAGCCAACGGAATGGACGCGTACTTCTTCGTGCGGTTCCTCCGCATGATGGCCCGCATTTTCCTACCAATCTGGCTCGTTTCCTGGGCGGTTCTTATGCCCGTTACAAGCGTGAACTCGCGCGTTGACAATAATGCGGGATTGGATTTATTCGTCTTTGGTAACATTTCTCCCGATAAGCAAACGCGTTACGCTGCACATATCATCCTTGTATACCTCTTTACCTGTGAGCATTTACCGACCTTCTCTTCAATTTCCCTAATTTGACGTCTGAACAGTCTGGATATTCTACAACATCAAGATCGAGATGCGGTCGTTTATACTCGAGCGCCAGCAGCATCTGATCAACCCCGTGCATGCCAAGTCCGTGCAGGCGAATACCATTCTCGTCACAGGAATTCCCGCAAAATACCTTTCGAAAGACGCCCTGCACAATCTTTTCAACGACCTTCCCGGAGGCGTGAGGCAAATTTGGATCAACAGGTACGTGTATTTGTCTCATCAAGCCATTTATACTTAACCTGATGGCCTTTCAGGAATCTCAAGGAGCTTCCAGACATCTATGACAGACGCATCGCTGCATGTAACAAGCTCGAATCCGCCGAGACTGCGCTCATGAAGACCGCGGCCAAACTCCGTCTCGCTGCCACCAAGCAGAGCAAGAAGAAAGGATCCAGAGCAGCGGATGTCGAGGCTTCCCCGGCGCTAGATGCCCATGCTGTGATTGTGCCTCGGGATAAACGGCCCCAACACCGGCTCGGGATGATACCCTTTTTCGGCAAGAAGGTCGACACCATCGAGTGGGCGAGAGAAGAGATTCGGGTCTGCACCGAGCTGTTGGACGAAGGACGGGCTGTCATTGAGAACGATGGAAAGGGCGTTGCGGATCGTAGTGATGAGCGCGGGGACAAAATCGAGGACGACAAGGCGATCAGCGAGGGCGCAAAGCATGGGAAGGGCAAGGCGGAGCCGAAAAGCTACCCACCTCTCAACAGCGCTTTCGTGACATTTCACAAGCAAATTGCGGCACATTTGGCGATGCAGGTGTTGACACATCACGAGCCTTACCGGATGAGTGAGTCTTATGTGCCTCTTCTCTGTCGAAGCATTCTAACTTTCTCTCTCTCCACCAGATGGAAAGTATGTCGAAGTTAGCCCCGAGGATGTCATCTGGTCTAACCTCGGAATGAACCCATACGAGCAAAAGGTATACAGCTTCTGTCCCCTTCAACCAAGCCAGAGTCTAACAGTATAACACTCACTAGCTTCGCAAAGCTATCAGCTACGCAGCGACAGCCGGTTTGATCATCCTCTGGGCATTCCCTGGTACGTGTTGGTTCTGACTCAAATACCTCAACTCAACTAACTATCGTCCAGTTGCCTTTGTCGGTATCGTCTCGAATGTGCCCGCTCTATGCGTATCCACTGCTTGGCTCGCATGGATCTGCAAGCTCCCCGCCGTCGTTGTCGGCATTATTTCCGGTATCCTCCCGCCCGTCTTGCTAGCGGTTCTTATGATGCTCCTGCCCATCATCTTGCGCCTCCTCGCCCGCTTCGAAGGCATCCCCAAGTACACTGGATTGGAATTGTCGTTGATGACGCGGTTTTTCATCTTCCAGGTCATCGTGAGTAGAACAATGACATGTTTTCCTGGAATCTGCTAAGGTGTCCGTTGAAACTTGTAGCACTCCTTCCTCATTGTGACGCTCAGTTCCGGCATCATCAAGGCTCTTGATCCTATTATCAAGAACCCGACGTCGGTGGCTCCTCTTCTGGCACAGAATCTACCCGGCGCATCGACGTTCTTCCTTACGTACGCACTTTATTCTTTCCTTTGTGTCGCCTTACTCAAGTTCGACTTTAGGTATATCGTCCTCCAGGGTCTGTCCGGCGTCGCCGGAGGATTCTTGCAGATTGTGCCATTGATCATCTACTATGTCAAGCTCTTCATTCTCGGAAGCACACCTCGCGCGGTGTACAACATCAAGTACGGTCTCAGAAACGTAGCTTGGGGAACGACATTCCCTGGTGTCACTCTCCTTGTAGTCATCGGTGAGAAAAATGCATCACCACCTCTTTACTCGCCCTAATTCGATTGTCTGCGTCGTCTAGCCCTGGGATACTCCATCATCTCGCCCATCATCAATGGCCTTGCCTGCGCGACGTTCTTCATGTTCTACCAGCTGTACAAGTACCTCTTCCTCTGGCAGTACGGCCAGCCGTCGACGAGCGATACGGGAGGCCTGTTCTTCCCCAAGGCGATCCAGCACGTTTTCGTGGGCATGTACGTGCAGCAAGTCTGCCTCTGCGCGTTGTTCTTCCTCGCCCAGGACGAGAACAAGAACCCAAGCGCCGTCGCTGAAGGTGCACTCATGGTCGTCCTCATCGTCATCACCGTAAGCACCCTGTCCTATTTTATTCTTGACCTAGGCTGACCACCTTGTCGATTCTGCTGCATATGTAGGCCGGCTTCAACATCATCATCAACAACTCCTACGGGCCCCTCCTGCATGCGCTCCCGCTGAGTCTCAAGGACAAGACCTACGGCGGTACACCGAGCATCAAGGAGCAGCGCGACAGTGACGAAGTTCCGCTCAGCGCGCACAGGTCGATTGAGCTACGACCGCGCTATGGCGACGCTAAGGACCCTGCCGGCCCAAATTCGACTGAGAAGGCGAAGACGGAGGAGGACTATGGCTTTGCGCACCCCGCGGCGTCGCGGCCGCAGCGCACGGTGTGGCTGCCGAGGGATAGGCTTGGGGTGGCGGAGGAGGAGGGGAGGGCGTGTAGGGAGGCGGGTGTGGATGTGAGTATGGCGGATGCGGAGATGAATGAGAAGGGGAAGGTGGATATTAGGGGGGCGCCGCCGGATTTGATCAAGGAGGAGTAAAGGTGATATTGGATTGTACGTATGATCCTCCTTGGGGTGGGAACACTTTATATTTTTTTCCCTTTTCTTTCTTGTTGATCTTTTGAACGGTCTTGCGTCTCGCATCCGCCACACATTCTTTTATATACTTGTTACCCCTTTTTTTCTTGATTATATATACATACCCTTCAGCTATTCCCTTGTTTCTTGTCTTTTCTGTTCCGTTCTGGCAGGAGCGGGAGCCAGTATATAGCGGCCATGATCGGACGTGCTCGTTGGGGCGTCCATGACAAGTTGTTGTAGCGTCGATAATGTAATGAAATTTATAGTAATGTTCATACGATGTCTTTCGGATTCAAGTTGGGACCTTGGACTTGGACACTCGGAATACGACAGACTCCAAAATCCAGATGGTCTATGGATGGGATAACAAAACAGAATCTTGTTTTTTTTAAAAAAAACAGGATTCTACCATGGGTCATTTCCCTCTAGCCGACTTGAACGACTGACCTCGTCATAGTTAGACTGGGTAACTATCATGTGCATACTAGTGACGCGCTCTACCACTGAGCTAAGAGGGACTGCAAGGCGAAGATCAAGTCCGAAGTAAGGGCGTAAAGCTGTAACTAACAACAAAAAAAATCTGGATAGTTTACAGCATACACTGCGTGAGATTGGAAGATGGAAGTCTTGATGCGCAAGAGGTATACTTGATTATCCTCGTCTGGTGAACAAGGCTAGTGCGGCTCTCGATCCTAACACTTGTCACTCGCGACGGCATCTTGGACAGGCGTTCCTGAGCGAGTACTGTAGTTACAAGAAATCATGATCAGGTCCGCTGGATTTCGCACATTTTTCAGGGATAGGCCCACGATAGGGATATGAGTTGCCACGCTGTGAAAGGGGATGATGTTGAGGTAGAATCAGGGTAGGATTGACGCCGTAGCGTTACGACTACCTCCGCGGTGTAAGGGACCCTTCAATAAGCTGGGAGGGTCAATACCTGGCATGCGTCGAGATGAAAGGTGAAGCCCGAGTGAAGCCTGCCGTGTTAGTTTCCCAGTATCAATGGTTTTGAAGGGAACGGACCGTATATTTCAAGTTATGTACAACTGGTAGACACTGGTACAGCCTGACAGGAATAGTGGAATAACGTTCTGCGTACTTGTGCAATGTCCACTTGTGCAGGACCTTAGCTCATCGTACACCTGGGAACTAAGTCCATTTAACCATCGTCCTTCTGCAGAGTTGAATAGATTGTGAATAGAGACGGTTAATCTGAACCGATGCCATCATTGCCAAGTGCTTGACTTGAACGGCCACGTGCTCTTGGCAGGCGCGTAAATTGGCTGACGACACTGGACAGAGCTGGACAGACATCCCCAGAAGACTCGTGCCTGGTCCTGAATTGTACTCCCTCGCACCGCCCTCAGCGGTCCTTGGGCCTTATCTCCAACTTTCAATCTAACTCCTGTAGCTTGCGTAGCGTCTGACATATGCCATGCTCAGAACAATCCAACATTCCCCCGTTGGTGAAAAGGCTGTGGAGTGCCTACATTCCATATAATCCGATATCGACAGCTCTGCTTCAGGCTTGATCTGCCACAAATCCTTCCCTCGAACTTCCAAGGCTAGAGTATAACTACATCGTCTCCTCGCCAAGGAATCACTTCAGCTAGAGAGAATTCTCGCCTTAATTCTCGAGTCCACGCTCTCAAGGCCGCGATGTCTGCTCTTGAACCAGCCGAGAAGTTCAAATTTGGGGAGAGGTTGGGGGTCTTCATCATGGTTGAATCTGCCAGGTAAATGACCAGCTATCTTCTCCCTAATTAAATAAAGCTTAAATCTTCGCATTTCCACTCCCTATCAGCCTTTCCGCAATTGCAGTGACTCTGCTCCTGACGTATGTCGGGGTATGTCCAGTTTTGCGCCCATGTGTTCTTTATTCTTCGTTAACATTCCTGTTTTCAAGTTTAAATCATTGACAAGGTATCGAGCACGGAGAGCTGCGCGCAACCAGATGTTCACTCGGTGGATGAATGCCTGGCAGATGGCCGCCATCCAAGCCACCCTAGAACGTACAGATGATGCCAGCGATTCCAGTTTCTTCATCTGCCTTATGCTTGCAGAACTTGTCCAAGCCGTTGGTAAGTTCTCGTGTTCCTTGAGGTTCCTGTTGCCGTTATACATATGAATAAAGTTGCTGAATACAAACATGTCTATAGGCGGCTTGCTTAACATTCAATGGGTCATCGACGGCGTAAGCGCACTTCACATTATTACCACCATTCCGATAGAGTCTGATCCGTCGATTCTTGGGCATGGACTTGCAGGCTGTAACGGAAGGTTCGCTTTGTACTGCACAGGGCGCGCTTAAGCAGCTCGGTGACGTGAGTGTTGCGTTCATGTAAGTTCGAACTTCATGCTCTGCCTTATCCGAGTCCTTTATGTATGCTCTATCATTCTCTTTTCAGGTCCCTTGTGAGTTCCGTGATCATTTGCTCATTTGAATCGTTCGATCCTAATGTGAACAGTGCATAGCTTTCCAGACATTCTCCGTCCTTATCCTGCGATGGCACGCGCCTGTTTCCGCTTCCAAGTACATCATTGCCGTGGTGTTTCTTTTCATAGCCCTTATGCAGGGCATCAGTGTTGCTACTCGGACACACAGCAGCAAGGGTCCGTACTATGGGAATACAGGTTTCTGTGAGCCTTTCTCTTTCCCTCCTTGCAAACTCCTCTCATCGGTAACATGCATAGGGTGTTGGATAGGAGACAACTACATGAAAGAGAAGATCATATTTGAGTATTTATGGATGTGGCTTGCGGGCTTCATCATGCTCATCATCTATGGTATGACTGCGATCGTGATGCGCGGGATACTGGTTGTCGGCGATGAGTCTGAGAGGAGTGGACGATGGGGATTGAGATGGAACTGGAGTGGGAGGAAGCGAACTAGGCAAGCATTCGTGGATGATAATGGTGAGGAGGAAGAGGAGCGCCAAGCGAAGGCTATTGCCAACCTTATGCTTTTGTGAGCATCGACCTTTATTCTTCTGGCGGCTAATTGATTAGCACCCAGCTATCCCGCGGTGTACATAGTCTGTGTCTTCCCTGTCGGCTTGGTGCGCTGGCTAGCGTTCAGTGGTAAATATGTACCTCCTGGTGCAACAATCATTTCAAGCATCGTGTTCTCGCTCTCCGGGCTTCTCAATACGATATTATACGTAACGACGCGTCCAGAGCTCGTCCGCGGCAGCCTCGATAGAGAAGAAACATCTACCAAGGACCGAAAGCGAGACAAACCGACAGAGAAGCAAAATCGCAAATCTCCTGCCCATCGTCGTCACGCCGGCCACCTTCCAGATCGCGGCGACGACGGGGGTAATTTGTACCTAGAAGATCTCCAGCATCGCGATGCCAGCGACAACCAGCCCTGGCTGGCGCATGAGCACTCGCGCACGGACAGCGGATACGCGTACCCCGCGAGCCCTGTCAGCAGTCCGGAGCGCATCCTACTTGGCCATCTCCCGAGCACATCGGATGCGAGTGGGAGCATATACCGGCCTGGTTCCTCATCAAGCGAGGCGCAGAAACATCGGCAGCTGCTGAGTCTTGATGCAGGGCACCTTCCAGATCTCGAACTTGACCATGATACGCGGTTTGGGGAAGGCCTCCAGGGGTTGCCGATTCCGCATGTGCAGGGACACGGGAGACGCGGCGACGGGTTGAGTCAGGGACTTGAAGGCGTGGGTATGGTGCAATCTTCCTTATCACCCAACGCCTTGTTCCCTAGCACGGGTAGAGGATATTGATGATTGAGGTTTCGTTGGACAATGTCATTTACCATGTACCGGAGATATGTAATGCGCCCATATGTAAATTATTGATGTTTTTTGGGAGTGCTGTGTCCCACATCGGACACGACGCGACTTATCTTGCCACCGGACTACTTCTGTAGTCCTTTTCTGAGGGCGGCCGCCTATAGAGTATCACGTCTTCGCACAATACCATTCGGGACGTAGCGTTATCCATGCAACGCCATCCTCCCCACCAAGCTGTATGATACCCACCTCTGCAGCCTTCGCTACACAGTCTCCAAATTTTCTGACTCCTTCGCGTTTATATAGTTCCGCATCCTGGGATAGGATGTCCATTCAAGATAACACTTGGCTCCCGCCTTCTGGGATGATGTCAAAACATGCTCTACGCACGCAGGAGGAGAGGCCAGACTACAGTTCTCCGTCAGAAGAAGCAGTTTGAGGTGGGCTCGGAATGGACACCAAGAAGGACTGTTAAACTAACCGTAGTCACACAAGTTGGCCACCTTCTCAGAATGCATTTGGGTAGAGAATAGCTCCATCCTGTTTTCACGAGGTGTGATTCAAATGCCTATATGCATCAATGGGCCCGGTGGTTAGAGTTAAAAATAGGGAGGAGGAGGACGGAGACGCGTCAGGTCAGTGGCAAGCATGTGCAAAGTGACGTATTACCAAATCGGGCTGTATTCGCGGATAACTTTTTCATGACCAGATGTCAATGAACATTGACTTCGATATCCAGTTTTAGGCATATGCCACATCCTATTCCCACAACTGGCTCAAGCATAATTTCAGCAGTCCATTGCTAAGATCACTACTTCGACGCGATCTTGGATTTCCATACCAGCTACCTTCAGTCCCTCCCTTACAACTCAAGTGAAGCACGATGCTCCTCCTCAACAGCTCTAGCCATATCCCCCAACGTCTCGAAGCGCCACTGCCATCCAAATTCCTTACCATCAGAAGGTGGAGCAGGACGTAACGCAGCACCCTGCCGATCGATCCACACACTGGAGACACCGAGCTGCTTCGCAGGCTCGTGGTCGTGCGTCAAACTCTGCGCCACTACAAGCGTCTTAGCTTTAATGTCATCGATGGATTGGGCCGTCGGAGCGTCGCTGGAGCCTGGGTGCGCCAGCAGATCAGGCTCCGCGCGAATCGCCTCGAATGCAGCAAGGAAGCCGGTAAGTGAAGGCTTATATGCCCCGACATCTTGCGCTGTGAGGATGAGGGAGAATGGTGATTTGGAGTTGGGGGTTTGACGCGGGAGCCACAAGCCGCGGGGGTTAGCGATTGGATCGGGGCGGCTGTAAAGTGCCGGGGCCGGCTGATCGTCCCCAACGTCCGACGGGGAGGATCCTTCCGAGAGATAGGTGTGCGTATGGGCGAAGGACGCATGGTCGACATTCGAGAGTACGACGAGGTGGAAATATTTGGAAAGGTCGTGGAGAGCTTTGGAGCTATCTGGGAACGGTGCCCATTGCTTGATCGAATTCCCAAACACCGTATGGGCGTTTGGGGTGGGACTCGAATCTAGCTTCGCCGACGAGGGCTCGCCTGGTTTGTCTGCTACGTTTAAGGATGGGAGGTGACCCTCGAGGGTCGTGGTATCTGCGGTATCCAGCGCTTTCGTCGGTCTCTCCTCTTTAGCCAACAGGCGCGCTTCGAGGACCTCATGAGCCTTGGCGAGAAGGTCAGAGTATCGCATCGACGGGTGCTGACCCTGGATATCCGATTCTATCGACATAAAGGCATGGACT